TGTCTGTCCCCCGTGACACACACAGCCTGAGTGTCCCCTGTCTGTCCCCCGTGACACACACAGCCCGAGTGTCCCCTGTCTGTCCCCCGTGACACAGTCCGAGTGTCCCCCGTGGCACACACAGCCTGAGTGTCCCGTCTGTCCCCCGTGACACACACGCCCGAGTGTCCCCTGTCTGTCCCCCGTGACACACACAGCCTGAGTGTCCCCTGTCTGTCCCCCGTGACACAGCCCGAGTGTCCCCCCGTGGCACACACAGCCTGAGTGTCCCGTCTGTCCCCCGTGACACACACGCCCGAGTGTCCCCTGTCTGTCCCCCGTGACACAGTCCGAGTGTCCCCCGTGGCACACACAGCCCGAGTGTCCCGTCTGTCCCCCGTGACACAGTCCGAGTGTCCCCCGTGGCACACACAGCCCGAGTGTCCCCTGTCTGTCCCCCGTGACACACACAGCCTGAGTGTCCCCTGTCTGTCCCCCGTGACACACACAGCCCGAGTGTCCCCTGTCTGTCCCCCGTGACACAGTCCGAGTGTCCCCCGTGGCACACACAGCCCGAGTGTCCCGTCTGTCCCCCGTGACACAGTCCGAGTGTCCCCCGTGGCACACACAGCCCGAGTGTCCCCTGTCTGTCCCCCGTGACACACACAGCCTGAGTGTCCCCTGTCTGTCCCCCGTGACACACACAGCCCGAGTGTCCCCTGTCTGTCCCCCGTGACACAGTCCGAGTGTCCCCCGTGGCACACACAGCCTGAGTGTCCCGTCTGTCCCCCGTGACACACACGCCCGAGTGTCCCCTGTCTGTCCCCCGTGACACACACAGCCTGAGTGTCCCCTGTCTGTCCCCCGTGACACAGCCCGAGTGTCCCCCCGTGGCACACACAGCCCGAGTGTCCCATCTGTCCCCCGTGACACAGCCCGAGTGTCCCCTGTCTGTCCCCCGTGACACACACAGCCCGAGTGTCCCCTGTCTGTCCCCCGTGGCACACACAGCCCGAGTGTCCCCTGTCTGTCCCCCGTGACACACACAGCCCGAGTGTCCCCTGTCTGTCCCCCGTGACACACACAGCCTGAGTGTCCCCTGTCTGTCGTGACACAGCCCGAGTGTCCCCCGTGGCACACACAGCCCGAGTGCCCCATCTGTCCCCCGTGACACAGCCCGAGTGCCCGTCTGTCCCCCGTGACACAGCCCGAGTGCCCGTCTGTCCCCTGGGGAAGGCAGCGAGTAAGGGGCAGTGCGCAGGTGCTCAGCTCCTGAGACAAAGGCAGGAGCAACAGCAGGGTCAGGAGCTCATCTGAACTCCCCGTGCTTTGCTTAAGAGCAAGAAAAAGCCAGGCTGAGCTCCCCTGGGCCCTGCGCTGCCCCCACTCAGCCCAGCCTCGGCCTGGCTCCTCCTTGGCTCCAGTGCGCCCCCTGGAGGGGAACCTGGCGCCCGCAGGACTGCGGGGGCGGGCCCTGCACACAGCGGCTCCTTTGTGTCACAGGAAGTTGGTGCATATGCGGAATTCTCTCCCTGGGTCGGAATGCGAGGACAGTCGGGCGTGCCAGTGGTCAGGACAGGTCAGGGCTGTGGGTGCTGGCTCCCGGGCCAAGAGGAATGCCGCCGGGGCAGCTTGGGCTGGGGGTGGGGCCCTTCATTGTGTAATGGGATCTCTGTTCTGGAATCCAAGGGACTGAAAAGAGCAGGGAGTGTGACAGCTGTCCCCACCCCCATGCAGACCCCCCCCACACTCCCAGCCTCCTGGACACAGAGCTGACCCCCCACGCTCCCCAGCCTCCTGGACACAGAGCTGACCCCCACACTCCCCAGCCTCCTGGACACAGAGCTGACCCCCACACTCCCCAGCCTCCTGGACACAGAGCTGACCCCCCACGCTCCCCACCCCCATGCAGACCCCTCCCCCCCACGCTCCCCAGCCTCCTGGACACAGAGCTGACCCCCCACGCTCCCCACCCCCATGCAGACCCCTCCCCCCCACACTCCCCAGCCTCCTGGACACAGAGCTGACCCCCACACTCCCCAGCCTCCTGGACACAGAGCTGACCCCCCACGCTCCCCACCCCCATGCAGACCCCTCCCCCCCACGCTCCCCAGCCTCCTGGACACAGAGCTGACCCCCCACGCTCCCCACCCCCATGCAGACCCCTCCCCCCCACACTCCCCAGCCTCCTGGACACAGAGCTGACCCCCACACTCCCCAGCCTCCTGGACACAGAGCTGACCCCCCACGCTCCCCACCCCCATGCAGACCCCTCCCCCCCACGCTCCCCAGCCTCCTGGACACAGAGCTGACCCCCCACGCTCCCCACCCCCATGCAGACCCCTCCCCCCCACACTCCCCAGCCTCCTGGACACAGAGCTGACCCCCCACGCTCCCCAGCCTCCTGGACACAGAGCTGACCCCCCACGCTCCCCACCCCCATGCAGACCCCTCCCCCCCATGCTCCCCAGCCTCCTGGACACAGAGCTGACTCCCCCCTGCCCCGCCCCGCTTCCTAGACGTGGGACGCCCTGGGCCTCTCCACTGCCTTCACGGGGGCTTCTGAGGCAGGACGCGGCCCAAGGCCTCGGCTCCCTCACGGCCGGTGGTACGTGCTGAGGGCCTGGGCCGGACGCGTGTCTCGTGCAGACCTGGAGGCCCAGCCTCCCCCAGAGCAGGGCACAGTCCTCCAAGCCACGACCGGCTTCCAGCTCCCGGGAGCCCCTTGCCCACCCCGAGGCCGCTCAGGAAAGGAAGGGGCCCCGCCCGCCGTAAACCCCAGAGGAGACTTCAGAGTGGAGGGAGCAGGGAAGACCCCACGCTAAGGCAGAGGGCCCGGGCCCTGCCACCCCTCCACGGGCGCCCACCCCCCAGCCCCAAGGCCGCAGCCGACAAGGGGCCCTGGTGAGCACAGCGCCTTCAACCTCAAGCGGCCAGGAGCCTTGGACGGAGGCCGAGACACAGGCCTGGCTATGCCCGGGACACGCAGCGCATTCGAGCCGCAGTCCCTGTGCACAGGCCGGGCCGTGGGGGACGAGTGTGACAGCCAGCACTGCGGTCCTGGACTCCCAGGCACTGCACGAGGAAACCACGCCTCGGCCGCTCTGCCCCACTCAGGCAGTGCAGCGAGTGAGCCCGACGCCCTGAGACCCGGTGGGCGGGCAAGGGGCCAGGTCTGCTTTGCCCGGACCTCCTGCTGCCCCTGGGGGACTTCTGCCCTGGACAGCTCAGATGCAGGGTCCTCGCTGGCCGGGCCGCCGGGGTGACCGGGGAGTTCCTGGTGTGGCGGGGGAGGTTCCAGCTGCCCGGGCAGTGAGTTCTGGGGAGCCAGGCCTGGCTGCTCACCCTGCCTGCCGTGGGCTCACAGCTCATCCGGCCCAGCTGCCACTGGGCAGGGAACGAGATAGGAGGACCCTGTGAGGATGAGCCCTGTGCCCGCTTCGGTCGGCACACGCGGCCGGGCCACGCCTGGCAAACCAGCAGCAGCTGGTCTCTCAAGTGCTCAGTGTTCACCCACCGAGCCTGGTCGGCAGAGACACAGGGGACGCCGTCCTGGCTTCAGGGTTGGGGTCAGGCAGTGGTCAGAGGCCAGGGTCAGCAGTGTGGCTGCGAGGGCCCGGGCTCTGCCTCGAGGAGCCCCTCCCTTGTCCTTGGTCACCCTCCAGCCGCTGCCCGGGCCCTGGGAGCCCCTCCCAGGCCTGCCCATGGAGGGCGCCCGGGCAGCAGCCTGCATTCGCCTACATTCCTCAAAGGGCTGAGCCCAGCTCTGGCTCAGAGCCGGCCCGCATTCCTTTTCACTTACACAGCACCTGGGGCGGTGGCCAGCAACACAAACCCCCGGGAAGCCCGGCCCAGCACCCAGAGGAGGTGTGAAATTCCACCTGCAGGCAAGGGGCCTTCCCTGACCCCGCCCTCCTGTCCTCCCCAGCCTGGGCGGCCCCGCCCCTCCCCCCGCCCCAGGAGCCCAGTCTGTGAGCTGATTAGCCTGGAGCCTGCTGGCTGCTGTAACTGTATCAGCGGCTACTGCTCCCACCAGGCCCACTTCGGAGGTGCGAAGAGCTGAGGCTCAGCACACTTGCCCCAGGCTGCTGCAGAGGGGATGGGACCCGCCTGGCCCCGGTGGCCGGCAGCCGTCAGTGCAGGCTCAAAGAGGCCCCGTGACTGTCACGCCGTGGACGCCCGGCCGGGCTTGCAGTGTGCGGCAGCTCAGGACGCCGGCGCTGACTGCAGACTCCAGCGCACGGAGGCCCAGAGTGCTCCGCGCGGGGCTCACAGCGGACAGCGCGGAGCCTGAGACCACCGCCCAGGGCTGCATGGCCGCGGCCGAGGGACAGCAGGCAGGACCAGCCGTGTGAAGAGGGACGTGTGGACTGGCGGGGGAGACCTCGCGGTCCGATCTGGCGATGGAAGACGCCGACGAGCTTCCAAGGGCTCTCCCGTCCCAGGTCACGCCCAGACCTTTCACCTTCCACCTCTGCCCCCCGACCCCTTTCCCCCGTGAGGGGCCGGTGGTGTGTGCCACCTCCTCCGAAAGAATCAAGGGACACCAGGCACAGCAGTCCCCACACAGCAAAGGTGTCCCGTCCCCTGCCCCGCAGCAGCGAGCCCACCCCGGGCTTCCCAGGGGCAGGCAGAGGAGGGGCAGCAGGGCTCCATCCACAGCAGAGGATGCGGCCGGCTCGTGTGTGCCCATCACTCGGGGGACGGGGGGACTGGTCCGGGGAAGGCAGGCCAGAGGCGGGAACCCAGAGAGCCCTCCCCTGCGCCCAGCCCAGCCCAGCCCAGCCACGGCCTTACTACCCACGTCCCTGCGCCCAGCCCAGCGGCCTTGTTACCCACGTCCCTGCGCCCAGCCCAGTGCCGGCCACAGCCGTGCTACTCATGTCCCTGCGCCCAGCCCAGCGGCCATGTTACCCACGTCCCTGCGCCCAGCCCAGCCCGGCGCCGGCCGCAGCCGTGTTACCCACGTCCCTGCGCCCAGCCCAGCCCAGCCCAGCGCCGGCCGCGGCCATGCTACTCACGTCGGCCTCGTTCCAGAGCCCGGGGATGCAGAAGGACTCCAGGAGGTCGCTCCCACACAGCAGCAGGATCCGCAGCTCTGCAGGCCGAAGTGTGCGGAGGAGTGAGGGGCTGGGCCCGCGCCCGCCCAGCCACCCTCCCCAGGGGTGGGGGCACCTACACGGGGAGCCCCTGGCCCCGCTCTGTCCGGGACGCCACCTTGTAGGGCTCACAGAGACTGAACCGGCCGCGGCCACGCCGTCTGGAGCCCAGCCACCCTCCCCAGGGGTGGGGGCACCTACACGGGGAGACCCTGGCCCCGCTCTGTCTGGGATGCCACCTTGCAGGGCTCACAGAGGTCAAGCCGACCGCGGCCACGCTGTCTGGAGCCCGGCTGCCATCCCCAGTGCCCGTGTGGCGGGCAGCAGCCACCCCCACCGCCACCGAGAGTGCCCCAGGGACCGGCTTGTTGGGGGTCCTCAGCAAGCAGCCTGGAGGCGAGGCAGGACCCCTCCTGAGCTCATCCTGCACCTGCTGCCCCTGCGGCTCTCGCTCCCCCTCCGTGTCCACCCCAAGGCTCCCAGTGAGGCGCAGAGTGGGCAGAGCTGACCCGTGGGGAGCAGGGCGTGGATTTGAGCCTTTCTTCCGGGGGCTATGGGGGGCGGGGCGTGTACTGAGGACACGGCTGCGGGCGTCTTGTGTGGAACCGTGAGACAGCCCTACCCTGGGCTCGCCACCAGCCCGGCGGCAGTGGCCACCACAGCCCCGAGTCTCCGAGACAGCCGAGGAGCTGCTCCACGCTGGGACCAAGGCCAGCTCAGGGACAGCAGGACTTCCGGCTGTGAACTTGCCAGACCCCACAGGAGCTTCCGGAAGGTTCTGAGGCAGGTGGCCGGCAGCCGCCCCCGGGGAGAGCTAGGTTCTCAAGCACTCAGGGCTCCTGCCTGCCCCTGCCAGCCCAGGACACTCGGCGTGCGGGCAGGGACCCCAGGGCCCGGCACGGCGGCCACTCACGCACACTGTGTGGGTGACAACACAGGCCTCTGCGGGGGGCACCAGTGGGGCTGCTGGGAAACACCCAGGTGAGCGCCAGTGCAGAGGAGAACCGGGCTGGTGCCCAGGAGCCCAGATGGGCCTGTGTGGGGGACTCTGCTGCCCGGCCCACGGGAGCTCCCGACAGGCCCCCGGGAGGGAGTGGGTGTGCCTAAAAGTCCCACTGAGCAGCCGTGGCTGGAGGATGCGCTGACCGTCAGCTTGCTCACATTCTGGCCTTGCCTGCCGGGGGACCAGGACGCCAGGATGGCCACGGGCTCCGACATGGCGTCACGTCACGGCCCCGGGGCAGCCGCGCCCTGCGAGGAGTCCTGTTCTGTCAGGAGCCAGGGCTCCCTTCCCACTCAAGTGGAGCCCAGGAGTCAGAGCGGGGCCTGAGCAGGGCGTGTGCGGCCACTGGGGGGCGCAGGGACCTCTCGTTCCAGCTCCAGGCCTGGGGCCAGCCAGGGAGCCGGCAGCTTCAGTTAGGAGCAGGAAATGAGGTCATGGACGCTGAGGGGCGGGAGAAAGCCGCTCCTGCTCCAGAAGGTCTCACAAAAGGGCCACGGGAGCCCCACCGGTGCAGAGACCAGGGCGGGAGCTGGCAGCCTCCATCCAGGTCATCCCAGCGTCAGCCTCTCCCCACACACCCGCCCAGGACCGCAGCCGTGCGAGGCCAGGCCCTGCGGTCCACCCGGCCACCAGGGCACGGGCCACAGCCAGGGGCCTGACAGGGCGTCTGGACTGGTGCTCCTGCCCTGGTCCCGGCCCAGCCCGAGGCTGTGGCGACAGTGGACTGACTCACAGGCAGCAGGACTGTCACCGCCTTCGCTGATACAAGATGTCTCAAAAAGTCCGTGGGAAAAACGTGTTCTGAACTAACTGCGCAGGGAATCTCAAAATTTTTTGGTGCCAAAATAAATGTGTCTTTTTAAAATTAATATTTTTATTTGAAAGGCAGAGATACAGAGAGAGACCGACCTTCCATTGGCTGTCACTCGCAAACGCTGGCATCAACTGGGGCTGTGCCGGGCGGAAGCCAGGAGCTCCGTGAGGTCTCCCCTGGCTGCAGGGCGCAGGCACCCGCGCCGTCACTGCTGCCCCCAGGGCGCGCGTGAGCAGGGAGCTGCTGGGGAAGCGGAAACCGGGCACCCCGGGCATGGGACGCGGGTGTCCCAACGTCCACCCTTGAATTTCTCTCTTAATCCCAATTTCCCTGTGACTGGCGGCACTGTGAGCCGACCTAACAATGTTCAGCGGCGACTCCAGCAACAAAGCTGGAAACCTCACGGAAGGTTCCAGTAAGCCAGGGTGAGCGTGCCGCAGACTTGGGCAGGAGGCCTACCAGAGACACTCGGGGCGTAAGACTGAGCGTGGGGGCCGGCACTGTGGTGTAGTGGTAAAGCCGCCACCTGCAGAGCCAGCATCCCATGTGGGCACCGGTTCGAGACCTGGCTGCTCCACTTCCTGTCCAGCTCTCTGCTGTGGCCTGAGAAAGCAGTAGAAGATGGCCCAAGTCCTTGGGCACCTGCACCCACGTGGGAGACCGGGAAGAAGCTCCTGGCTTCAGATCAGGGCAGCTCCAGCTGTTTCGGCCATCTGGGGGAGTGAACCAGTGACAGAGGACCTCTCTCTCTCTCTCTCTCTCTCTCTAACTCTGACTTTCAAATAAATAAATGCATCAAAAAAAAAAAAAAAAAACCGACATGGGTGCCTTCCCCTGGAGGCCCAGACCCCAAACCCCACGGTCACGGGCCCGCCTTCACTGGGCACCCCCACTCCAGCCCCAGGCTGCCATGGCGCCCATTTTCTCCCCTCACCCACTCTGGGCCTAGGAAAGTTCTCAGTTTTCGGGTTTGTCTCTTGGAGCCTCAGGAGCCTCCAGCCCCACCAAGAGGAAAACTCCAGGGAAGGCCAGCAGGGGGCGCACTGCCCCGTTCGTGGGCAGCACCAGGGTTGCACTCCACCCCGACCCTGCCGCCGGCACAGAGCCCCGCTTCCTGGCCTCAGAGGAGCGAAAGGCCAGCCTCGAGGTCAGTGGGCACCAAGAAACACTCGGTTCCCGAGGTTGGAGCCCCGCCGGCCCACTCACCGATCTCCTCGTACCGCATCACCGTGCCCAGGTTGGCGTTCTCATCTGCGGACACAAGAGGGGCACAGGCACCTCAGGGACCCAGGCCTGGGGAGAGCCTCTGCCCCCACCACGGGCACGGAGGGCTGTGGCCCCGCGGCGGGGGGTGGCCTCCCTCTGCCCCCCACCCCCCGCACTGAGTGGCACCACGGACAGGTGACCAACAGCTCTGAGAACAGTCACTCGGTATCCAGCCGGCTCCATCTGCACAGCACCAGAAACCAGGGGGCTTCTCCGGATTCACGCCTCACAGTCCCGCAGCCGCAGTTCAAGTCCAGTGCTGGGGGTGGCGTGGGGGGTGGTCTGCTTCCTGGCTCAAGCCGGCCCCTCCCCTCTGCCTCACTCTCCTAAGGGCACTCACTGCTCATGGCTCACAGGTGAGCTCCTCACCACCTGCCCCCGCCCCTGGGTGAATTCTGGGGACACTGAGAGACCTCCAGGCAGGAAGGAGGGGAGGGGAGAAGGCGGGGGGGGGGGGAGAAGGAGGCGGGGGGCGGGGAAGGAGGCGGCGGGGAGGGCCCAGCCCTTACCCACGAAGGTGAAGCGCTCCACGGGCGGGCGCACACAGCAGATCCGGCTGAGGCTCTCGCCCACCTTGCCCAGGATCTTGGCTGTGGGAGAGAACAGAGGGACCGAGATGGAGGCTGGGGCCCCTAGGGGATCCTCGGGCGCGGCGGGGGCCAGGGGGTGGGTACCGGGGAGGGAGGAGGAAGGAGGGCAGGGAGAGAACAGGAACCCGAGGGCGCCAGGTGCAGGCGTCCAGGGCACAGGCCAGAGTCTGCACTCCAGGCCAAGCACTCACGACCCGACCCCGTGACAGCCACTGCCCACCCACGGGGTACTCTGCTCCCCCCGTGCCTCGCGGGTACTGAGAGGGAGTCTGCGTGCCCTGGGCTGCTCGGGGCCTGGTTAGAGGGCCCCTGCGCTGTGGCCGTCCCCACCTCCTCAGTGGGAGCGTTTCTGCCCCGCGTGCGTCCTGGGCCACCTCCTCCGCGCGCTGCTGGGCCACCAACGCTCCGGTCCCCATGCAGCTGTCTGCACCCTGAGCTTCCGGCTGCTGGGGGCTGCACCCTGTTTACGTAACGCGCCAGTGACCCGGTGACGGGACTGCACCTGTCTCGGCCTCGTGGCCGGCCAGGACTGAGCAGGACTGACCGGGAACAGCAGCCTCCCAACCCCAGTTTTCTGTCTGTTAAGTGGGACGAGGTACCCACCCCTCGGAACGTCGCACAACACTGAGCGGTCAGGCCACAGCCCCAGTCTCACTCAGTGTGAGTGGCAGGTCTGGTCCTGGGAGGGGCTAAGAGTGCAGGGGTCCTGGACCAGACCCTTGGGTGCGACCCTCAGGGGGCAGAGAAAGACGCTGGCTTCTGTCCATGTCACTCCAGTAAGGCGATGATGTCTGCACACCGAGCCCAGGGATTCGGCTTCCTCTGTGGCCACGCGCGGAGGGCTCCCACACCTGCTCCCAGCAGCACCTCATCCGGGATGCAAACCTGTGCCCCCCCCCCCCCCCGCTCGGGCAGCTCGGCGGGGCCCCCAGGGGCTCCTGAGGCAGGGCCTACCTGCCGTGGGCTTGGCGGGCACATTGCTGTTCTGGTAGGCGGGCTGGGGCGTCTCCTGCTGCGGCTGCCCAATCACAGGCGTCATGGAGGGCGTGCTGACGTTGGACAGGATGCAGCCGGTCACCCGCTGCGCAAGGGAAGAGCCGGGTCAGCGTCACCGGCCAGAGACCCTGGAAGTGGTCATCGGCTCGTCCCTCATGGTGAGGCTGCCTGGAGCCAGGCGGGGGAGGGGAGCCCTGCGGTGGGTTCCAGACCCAGCTGTACTACGCACTCACTCAGCAGCCCGGAGGCCCAGGGCCACAGCGGGGGCTCGGCCTTGCCCTGTTCTAACTGTGTGACCTTGCAAGGCCGCTTCATCCCCCAGGAGCCCCGGCTGGGGAGCCCAGAAGCACTGACCCCAACTCCAGCCGGGTCAGCCGAGCAGGTGCACACAGCGTGCCCGAGTGCCTGGCTGGGCAGGAGCCGTGAAGGGCAGCGAGGCTGCGGCCTGCGTGCTGGGAACGTGCCAGGGCCTCACCAACCCTGGCACTGCCTCTGCCGTCGGGCCCAGGGCTGCGAGCAGAGCCAGCGGAGCTGTGTGGTGAGGGGCGGGGGGTGGACTTGCCCCTGGATGGGCTGCACGTCTCAGAGCTCAACGCAGACAAATGTGACCTCCTGTCACTGTGCTGCACTGGGTGGGCCACGGGGAGGGCGCAGAGCTGAGAACTGGTGCACCAGGAGAGGGAGAGGCAGGGAGGAACAGAGACCAGGGCTCAGCCTGCCTAAGGAGCAATAGAGAACAGGGCTCAGCCTGCCCAGGGAGGAACAGACCAGGGCTCAGCCTGCCCAGGGAGGAACAGACCCGGGCTCAGCCTGTCCAGGGAGGAACAGAGACCGGGGCTCAGCCTGCCCAGGGAGGAGCAGAGACCAGGGCTCAGTCTGCCCAGGGAGGAACAGACCAGGGCTCAGCCTGCCAGGGAGGAACAGAGACCAGGGCTCAGCCTGCCCAGGGAGGAACAGAGATCAGGGCTCAGCCTGCCCAGGGAGGAACAGAGACCAGGGCTCAGTCTGCCCAGGGAGGAACAGAGACCAGGGCTCAGCCTGCCCAGGGAGGAACAGAGACCAGGGCTCAGCCTGCCCAGGGAGGAACAGAGACCAGGGCTCAGCCTGCCCAGGGAGGAACAGAGACCGGAGCTCAGCCTGCCCAGGGAGGAACAGACCAGGGCTCAGCCTGCCCAGGGAGGAACAGAGACCAGGGCTCAGCCTGCCCAGGGAGGAGCAGAGACCGGGGCTCAGCCTGCCCAGGGAGGAACAGAGACCGGAGCTCAGCCTGCCCAGGGAGGAACAGACCAGGGCTTGGCCTGCCCAGGGAGGAACAGAGACCAGGGCTCGGCCTGCCCAGGGAGGAACAGACCAGGCTCGGCCTGCCCAGGGAGGAACAGACCAGGGCTCAGCCTGCCCAGGGAGAAACAGAGACCAGGGCTCAGCCTGCCCAGGGAGGAACAGAGACCAGGGCTCAGCCTGCCCAGGGAGGGACAGAGACCAGGGCTCAGCCTGCCCAGGGAGGAACAGACCAGGGCTCAGCCTGCCCAGGGAGGAACAGAGATCAGGGCTCAGCCTGCCCAGGGAGGAACAGAGATCAGGGCTCAGCCTGCCCAGGGAGGAACAGACCAGGGCTCAGCCTGCCCAGGGAGGAACAGACCAGGGCTCAGTCTGCCCAGGGAGAAACAGAGACCGGGGCTCAGCCTGTCTAGGGAGGAACAGAGACCGGGGCTCAGCCTGCCCAGGGAGGAACAGAGACCAGGGCTCAGTCTGCCCAGGGAGGGACAGAGACCAGGGCTCAGCCTGCCCAGGGAGGAACAGACCCGGGCTCAGCCTGCCCAGGGAGGAACAGACCAGGGCTCAGCCTGCCCAGGGAGGAACAGACCAGGGCTCAGTCTGCCCAGGGAGGAGCAGAGACCGGGGCTCAGCCTGCCCAGGGAGGAACAGAGACCAGGGCTCAGCCTGCCCAGGGAGGAACAGAGACCAGGGCTCAGCCTGCCCAGGGAGGAACAGAGATCAGGGCTCAGCCTGCCCAGGGAGGAACAGACCAGGGCTCAGCCTGCCCAGGGAGGAACAGACCAGGGCTCAGTCTGCCCAGGGAGAAACAGAGACCGGGGCTCAGCCTGTCTAGGGAGGAACAGAGACCGGGGCTCAGCCTGCCCAGGGAGGAACAGAGACCAGGGCTCAGTCTGCCCAGGGAGGGACAGAGACCAGGGCTCAGCCTGCCCAGGGAGGAACAGACCCGGGCTCAGCCTGCCCAGGGAGGAACAGAGACCAGGGCTCAGCCTGCCCAGGGAGGAACAGAGATCAGGGCTCAGCCTGCCCAGGGAGGAACAGAGATCAGGGCTCAGCCTGCCCAGGGAGGAACAGACCAGGGCTCAGCCTGCCCAGGGAGGAACAGACCAGGGCTCAGCCTGCCCAGGGAGGAACAGAGACCGGAGCTCAGCCTGCCCAGGGAGGAACAGAGACCGGGGCTCAGCCTGCCCAGGGAGGAACAGAGACCAGGGCTCAGCCTGCCCAGGGAGAAACAGAGACCAGGGCTCAGCCTGCCCAGGGAGGAACAGAGATCAGGGCTCAGCCTGCCCAGGGAGGAACAGACCAGGCTCAGCCTGCCCAGGGAGGAACAGACCAGGGCTCAGTCTGCTCAGGGAGGAGCAGAGACCGGGGCTCAGCCTGCCCAGGGAGGAACAGAGACCAGGGCTCAGCCTGCCCAGGGAGGAACAGACCAGGGCTCAGCCTGCCCAGGGAGGAACAGAGACCAGGGCTTGGCCTGCCCAGCCTCCCAGGGGCCGAGAGGAGCAGCTGTGTGAAGGGCTCTGGGGTGCGGGCCAGGCCGGCTTTCCATGTCCTGGGAACCTGAGCGGGTCACCAGCAGGTGGTCCTGACTCCCCTGCTCTGCCCCACCCCAGATTCTGGGTCGCACAGCTCCCCTCCATTTGACATAAAGCCGTCTGTGAGGTCAGGGCTGCTGCCCACGGAGAACGGCGAGAGGCCCTTGTGTGACAGCAAGAACAGCGGCACGGAGGCCCCTGGACCAGAACAGTGCCCTGCGGCCGGCTACCGGGGCTGAGCCGGGTCTGCTGCCCACCGCCGCGGTTGCCCGTGGGAGCTGACGGGTGGGCACAGAGCTCTCTGCTCTGGCCAGTGCCGTGCCACTGGCTGGCACGGTGGCCAGCGTGTGGCCACCCTGGGTCCCCGCAGCCCGGCCCCAGGCTCCAGGCTCCGGTCAGGGACACAGTTCTCTCCTGGGCGCCTCCTCTCCCCACTGACAGATAAGGACCAGGCCCGGCCTGCTGCCCGGCGCTCTCACAGGTGGGGCGGGAAGGAGCGAGGGAGCGGCGGCCCTGGCGTGTGGCACACCCGCAGCTCCCCTGCAGCCAGGGCACTGGCACCCAGGCCCCGTTCTCCCTGCCCACGCCCTCCCCGGGCTGCAGCCCACGTGGGAGGCTGGGAGCACTGCAGTCCCCAGGCGCTCAGCTTCTCCCGCCGCTGGCCAGGCCCCGCTCGGCCCCGCCCCCGCTCACCTTCATGAGGTCTCGATGGTGCTGCAGCACGCTGCAGGTGGTCTGCCAGGTGTCCTGGTAGCACTCCCAAGGGTCCACCCTAGCGGCAGGGAGAGGCCTGGCTCAGTCCCACCGTCCCCCGCCGTCCCCCACCGTCCCCCTCCAGAGACCCCAGGCTGGGGCCCTGCAGCTCCCGCCAGCCTGTGACAGCGACGGCCATCGGGCCACACCTGGCCCGAAACAGCCCCCATGGCTCGGGTTTCTGTGTAAGGTGACGGGAGTTGGCAGCCGTCCGTCAGGCCGGTCCACGCGTGGGCTCCGGGGCAGCGATGGAAGCTCGGCAGTGGTGCCCCCGCCCCGGCAGGTGTTAACGTGTGCGGCACTCAGTCTTACCCGCAAAGGAGGCTTTCCCTCGACCCTACGGGACCGTGATAAAGGCTGAAGCAGCCGGGCCCCTCACCCGGCGGCTGCGGGCCCAGGGGAGCAGCCCGTCCGCCTCCCCGAGCCCTGGGACTTCGCGGGCGTGGTGCTCAGACTGGAAGGCGCAGCCCCACGCAAGGAGGCCGCGACATGGCGAAGTCCAGCCCCAGACCGATGCTCAACTTCAAGGCCAGCCGAGCAGGCTGCTGACCGGGGGTCACCTTAGCCCTCGAGCCGTCCCCGTCCACCCCACCAACACGCACACACCTGAGGCTCCGGCTAATGAGCCCGAGCCTGGCTCCTCCCTGCCCTGACCCTGCTGGACGGCTCCCCGAGTCAGGGGCCTGCTGGCCAGAGCTGCCACTCACACGTCCCAGGGCACCAGGGCCCCACAGGGCAGGCAGGGAGTGCAGAGGGCTTATGCCTGGGTCTGCAAAGCTCGTCAGAGCAGGGACGGCCTCCTGCCCAGTGTCTGCCTGCCCTGGGCGCGAGCAGTCCCGCTCAGGGGCCCTGCTGCCCACCGGGGGCAAAGCCACCTCCTCCTCTCCCACCGCCTCCGCTCTGTCCCCATGTCCTGGGGGGTGAGAGGCTGGGACAGGTACCTGCCCCGTACCCAGAGCAGCACACAGGTGTGCAGGGATCTCTGTCCCGCCCCTTGCGGCTCCCAGTCCCGCCCACCGCCTCTGCCACCCCCTGCGGTCGGCTGTCCATCACTCTTCTGCAGACACCCCTGGGGGCTGCTTGCTTTGCCAGGCAGTGGATGTGGCAGCACGCGTGGCGTGCCCGTTTTCGCAACCATCGTCTCACCACGCAGGTTTTGCAGGCCGCAGCCCTGGGAGAAGGGTTCCCATGGCAACCGGGAGCCTGCTTCAGTCCTAGGGCCAGCCGGGGAGGGGCAGGCGCAGGCCCAGTGCACCTGCTGCGGCCGCCACAAAGGGCAGTGAGCCCAGCACCCACTCCTCTGTCCCGAGTCAGCGGGGACCCTGACGGCCTGAGCTGGATCCAGGTGTCCAGGGAGCCTTCCAGAAAGCGCTGGGGTCAGCAGGAGGCGGTGGGGACAGAGTGGGAGGCGGTTCTTTCCCGCAGTGACCTTGGGGAAGCCAAGGAGACGAAACCCTGCACTTCCTTCTTTAGTTTCACTGCCCCACGGCTTGGCTCAAAACCCAAGTCACCCGGGCCGCCGCTGGAGGCCGCCCAGCACTGCCGTGGGGGCTGAAGCCTCTCGCTGCCCCCCACCCCCCGCCACGACACCCGGATCGGAGCTGGATTCTTCCCCGGGCCCGGCCCTACCTGATCCAGTCGGAGTTCTGGACGGCCAGCTGACACATGACGAGGCGGTGCCGGCTCGACACGAGGCCCTGGGAGGCAACAGAGCAAGCCTGAAGGCGCCCACAGCACCCCCACGACCCTTATTCCCCGGGGGCGGCACGGACAGGCGTGGCAGGGCGGCGTGGGGGACAGAGAAGGACGCAGGGCACGGGGAAGAAACATCCCAGCCCGGCCGGCGCATCGCCCGGCAGCAGCCGTCGTGGGCTCTGCCGGGCCCTCGCCCAGCAAGCACGCCTGTCCCTGGGCTGGGGTGGGTGGCTGGTGTCCTGGGCGGGACGGAAGGGGGAATGAGGTTTTCTCCAGCACTCCAGGAGAGGCTGCCCCAGACAGCCCAGCATCCACGCGGTGCCTGCCCCTCGTCCCCGAGCTCTGACTCGGCCGGGAGCTGTCCCCCGTGTCTGACCGCCACGGGGCGAGGGCAGGGACCCACCTGTTTTCCATAGGAGTCGTGCACGGGGGAGACAATGCCGCCGATGACAATGAACCTCCCAGTCTTGTGCAGGTAGTCCCTGGCCCGCTCTGGTGGAAGGAAAGAGGCGTGGATGAGCGGAAAGCAGGCGTGGATGAGCGGAACGCAGCCCTGCACTCCCGGACCTCGGCCGGCGCCCGCCTTGCCGGCTGTTTGGACAGAAAACGCACGCGCTCAAGGCAGACGTGGGTGAGCAAAGGGCGTGGGCCAGACTCCAGCCCCCAGGCAGAGCTGGGCCTGGGGGGTTACACGAGGTCTGGGTCAGGAGTCCCTGGGGCCTCAGCTTGGAACTCTCTCCCACGGGTACCTGAGGAAGGCCAGCGAGGAAGAGGAGCTCAGAAAAAGCGGCCCGCGGCGGTGTTTGGCACCACGGCTGAGCTGCTCGCGTCACTGGCATCCCACGTGAGCACAGGTTCAGTTCCGGCTGCTCCACTTCCGGCCCAGCTCTCTGCCGACGTGGCCGGGAAAGCAGCAGCAGGTGGCCAGGTGGGAGACCTGGATGGAGTCCCAGGCTCCAGGCTCCGGGCTTCAGCCTGGCCCAGCCCCGACGGCGGCAGCCACTTGGGGAGTCAACCAGTGACACATCTCTCTCTCTCTCTCTCTCTCTGCAATGTGCCTTTCAAGTAAATGAATAATTGAGATTAATTCGTAAGTAGTAAATAAAATGAAAATTGCATCTTTGCTTCTCTGTTTCCTTTCCCTGTGAAATCTCTGACGGTTCTCTTAAACAGCGGGCAGCTTCAGCGCCGCTGTCGATGTACGGGGTCACCATGCAGACTGCACACACCTCAGCCCACCACGCAGCGGCCCACAGGAACAGCGAAGCATGCGTGCGGCACACCTGTCACTCTCGGTGAACCCACACATGCACACGCCTGTTACGTGGAGCCCACAGCACACGTGGGGTCACCCCTGCTGGTCTGGCCACACGCACGATGACCTGTGTCCTCCGCACAACCCCGAGCCACCTGAGAGGCGGCAGAGGGGCCACTGCAGAGCCCTGGGCTGCTCACCCCCCTGCTCTGGGCCAGCCGCTGACCCTGGCGGGGAGCAGGCGGGCAGCGGTCAGTGCCCAGACTCCCTGAGGCAGGAGCGGCCGTGCGCCCGGAGGCTCAACACTGTGGGTGAGCTGGCCAGCCCGGCTTGTGGGTGGCCCCTGCTCGGCCTTCCGTTCTCCGGCGGTGAGCGGGGCTGGAGCGTCTCCTGTGGAAGCAGAGGCGGCTCTGGGCCCCAGGGCAGGTGGGCGCTGCTCGGATGGACCCGGGCGTCACAGGCCAGCAGCCACAGCGGTCCTGGCTTCAGCCTGGTGTCCCTGCCTTTACACACGGGGCCCAGGCACAGAGGACCGCACGCTGGTGTAGGTCTGCAGGAGGAGAAACCACGCTGCGGTGTCTGGCTGAGTGCCGTCCGTGCCGGGGTGAGCCACAGTTTTCCACTCCCACGAGGCCGCCCTGACACTTCCAGCAGCCACAAACACAGGGACAGGACATTCTGGGGTGCAGGGTTTTGTGCTCGCGAAGGTTTTAGGACAACTTGGCCAGCAGTGCCTGCAGGCTTGGGGCGGTGGGGGGCGGGGAGCATTCCGGATCCTCAAATGCCCCACGGCTCTGGGGTCCGTCCGGTCCGGGCTTTGGCCGCCCCGATGGGTGTGTCACGTCTGGGGTCCGTCAGGTCCGTTGGTTCGGCCGCCCCGATGGGTGTGTCACGTCTGGGGTCCGTCGGGTCCATTGGTTCGGCCGCCCTGATAGGTGTGTCACTGTCACATTCACTCTTGACAAGAACAGATGTCACTCATCCTCAAGTCCTATTTTATGGCCAGATTCCCGGCCCCAAAAAACTTATTTTTATTTATTTGAAAGAAAGACTGACCAAAAGAGAGGGAGTGGGAGAGACAGAGGAAGATCTTCCGTGCACTGGTTCACTCTGCGAACGGCCACAACAACCGGAGCTGGGCCAGGCCAAGGCCAGGAGCCCAGAGCTCCGTCCTGGTCTCCACACGCGTGAGGGGCCCAAGCGCCCAGACGCCCTTCCGCTGCTTTCCCAGGCATCAGCAGGAGCTGGGGCAGAACTGGGGCAGCTGCGGCTGCCCTTCATCTACAGCACAGGTTCAAGAAGCCTATCTATGGTCCACGTGCCATCCAGGCTGCACCCATGCCCAGGACCCGGGAGCCCCTGGCCACAGGCTGCCGACGTGGGGACACAGCTGCACCCACACACGGGGCAGGGGACACTGTCACAGCCCACACACAGGGTGAGGGGACACTGTCACAGCCCACACACACGGGGCAGGGGACACTGTCACAGCCCACACATACATGGGGCAGGGGACACTGGAGACACAGCCCACACACACACGGGGCAGGGGACACTGGAGACACAGCCCACACACACACGGGGCAGGGGACACTGTCACAGCCCACACACAGGGTGAGGGGACACTGTCACAGCCCACACACACACGGGGCAGGGACACTGTCACAGCCCACACACGGGGCAGGGGACACTGTCACAGCCCACACACACGGGGCAGGGGACACTGGAGACACAGCCCACACACACACAGGGGGCAGGGACACTGTCACAGCCCACACACACACAGGGAACAGGGGACTGTCACAGCCCACACACAGGGCAGGGGACACTGTCACAGCCCACACACGGGGCAGGGGACACTGTCACAGCCCACACACACGGGGCAGGGGACACTGGAGACACAGCCCACACACACACAGGGGGCAGGGGACACTGGAGACACAGCCCACACACACACAGGGGGCAGGGACACTGTCACAGCCCACACACACACAGGGAACAGGGGACTGTCACAGCCCACACACAGGGCAGGGGACACTGTCACAGCCCACACACGGGGCAGGGGACACTGCCGCCCCTGGGTACCCTCCCCTGGCTCACCACCAGGGTGTCTCTGGACAGAGACCAGCCCGTGGGATCCGATCCGGGCCAGGCCTCCCAAAGCATGGTCTAGCTTTGTCCATCAGTTCCGCCCCAGCGGAGGGGCTGAGTCACACTCACACCCCACACGCTGGCCTGCCCGCCACGGAGAGGAGCCGGCACCGGCATCGGCTTGGCATGCCTCGTGCTTGGTCCCCAGGGGTTCCGCTGTGCCCACGCTCACTGCAGGCCTTGGGACGGACACGGCTGGGGCAATTCACCCGTGAACGAACACTCGGGGTGCAGACGTGTCTCGCCTGCCTCCCGGCCACGCGTGTGACCTGCGCTGCCACCCAGGGCTCAGCACAGGCACAACCCCTTCTGAGTTGTGCTCCCAGCTGGAGCGAGATTCCTGCTGGGAGCTGAGAATTCACCTGACAGAGCTGGCGAGGGCTTCCGGTGACGGTGGCTCTGTGCCAGCGGCCGGCAGGGACGCTGCCCCGCCCCCACGATGCTGAGGCTTGCGACATTTGCGACAGGGGCGCCACACAGAGCGCGTGGGCAGCAGGCGCCAGAGGAGCCGCAGAGACTTCCCGGGAGGGGGAGAACACAGCGGAGACTGGCGCTGGGGACGGGCGGCGGAGGGTGGCGTCCTGACCCCGTCTTTGTTTCCTGTCTCTCCCAGGGAGACAGCCCCTCCCAGCCATGGACAACTGGCCCCAGCCACTCTTCCAAACACAGGCCCACCAAAGCAGGCTGGCAGCCGAAGCCCTGGCCCAGGGTCTCACAATTGGGCGATGGCCCCGGGGCGGGAACGCCCCGGGAGAAAGCCCTGTGGGTGCTGGGAAGAAGTGGGGGGGGGGCCTCCTGGGCAGGGGAACGAGCTGAGCTTCTCTGGGCACAAGGGAGAAGCAGCGGGACCAGCGGGCTGGGCCTCAGCGCTCACCCATCCCCAGGCCTCTGCCGCCTGCCACTGCCGAGCCGGATACGCGACACACACGCTGGAGTGCTTGCCCACTGGGATGTTGTTTTAAAGTGAGGAGAGGGCTGGCCCTGCGGTGCCAGAATCCCATGTGGGCGCTGGGTTGAGTCCTGGCTGCTCCATTTCCAACCCAGCTCCCTGCTAAGGAGCCTGGCAAAGCATCGGAAGATTCCCAAGTGCTTGGGCCCCTGCACCCAAGAGGTACAGTGGGAGCCCGGGAAGAAGCTCCTGGCTCCTGGCTTTGGTGCCAACAGCCACTTGGGGAGTAAACCAGCGGGTAGAAGATCTGTGTCTCTGTCTCTCTAACTCTGCTTTCAAGCACATTAATTAATTTTAGAAATGTGAGGGGAGGCACAGGAAGTGGGGGAGGCGCAGGAAGTGGGGGAGGCACAGGAAGTGGGGGAGGTACAGGAAGTGGGGGAGGTACAGGAAGTGGGGGAGGTGCAGGAAGTGGGGGAGGTACAGGAAGTGGGGGAGGTGCAGGAAGTGGGGGAGGTGCAGGAAGTGGGGGTGCAGGAAGTGGGGGCAAAGGAAGTGGGGGAGGTACAGGGAGTGGGGGAGGCACAGGAAGTGGGGAGGTGTAGGGAGTGGGGGAGGCACAGGGAGTGGGGAGGACCATTGGCAGCGGCCTCGCTTGGCGATGAGACCCCCGTCCACGGGTGAATGTGACAGTTCACGGAGCAGCAGCCCAGGAGCAGCCTTCACTGGAGAAAGCAACAAAATAAACGCCTACAGCGGGGAAACGGAGCTGGGGGAGGCAGAGGGGACACGGGAGCAGGAAGAACACTCAGAGGAGACCCTTGGGGAGACAGATACCCGTGTGCACGCAGTGAGAAAGGACGAGAGACCCGTGTCCATGAGTGAGGAAGGACGAGACCCATGTGCACGCAGTGAGAAAGGACGAGAGACCCGTGTCCACGCAATGAGAAAGGACGAGAGACCCGTGTCCACGCAGTGAGGAAGGATGAGAGACCCGTGTGCACGAGTGAGGAAGGACGAGAGACCCGTGTGCACGCAGTGAGAAAGGACGAGAGACCCGTGTGCACACAGTGAGAAAGGACGAGAGACCCGTGTGCACGCAATGAGAAAGGACGAGAGACCCGTGTCCACGCAGTGAGGAAGGATGAGAGACCCGTGTCCATGAGTGAGGAAGGACGAGAGATCCCGTGTCAATGA